TTTTGAGGCTTTTTTTGCGATATTATATATACACATGAACTAAAGGACAATGAAATCGTGCATGATGGAATTCATAAGTACTAACCTTTATGATAGCAGTTCTGCGGTTTCTTTATCATTATGGAAATAGTTTTAAAAGAAGCAGGTATCTAATGGAAAAATTATATGTTTTTTTTTCTATTTAAGGACAATGAAGTTGTGCATGATGGAATTTTGAAGTGCAAACTTTTTAACTTTTGATGTAGCGCAGCTTTGACGCTTCTTAAAGTGTTTCTTTGTTAGAGAAACCGTTTCTTTGTTAGAGAAACCAGTAATAATGACTAGATATTGCTCTATGATAATGGATTTTGAGAATAAAGCGAATTGAAGAAAGATATTTTGACATCTTTAAATGTTTTTAAAAGAGATAATTCAAGTTTTTGAAACAGTAAACCACAAATATGGTCTTATTATATTGACTATGATATAAGTGTGGAATTATTTCTGTATTTGCTATTTCCTGCTGTGGTTATATGTGTTTGTTACGATCATTTCAATTTTGAATTAAATATTTAAGTTATTTATTTTGGTGCCATGGAAACATTAGTGAAATCTGATGTCCTCGAAGAAATCAATAGCTTTAGGGAGATTTTAATAATTTCAAATGTTTTTGTAGACAATTTAGTTTCTGTTGCCTAGCAACAAAACTGAAAATTTGTGTGACAATGCATAAAGGTCTAATAATGTAAATAATTTAAGGAAATAAGACCGTCTGAAATTGTAAAGCTTTTTCGTCTGCACGAAGAAATGTTCTGTGATGAATTCTGGATTATCTTTCGATAGGAGATACTGCAGCGAGAGGTAAGCTTTCTATATTTGTATCATTTCATCGTAACGTTTAAGGACCATTCAGATAAGAAAAGTTTCTTTTAATTGTTACCACACTAAATATATTAAATGGACTTGTCCATCTTTCAATCTGGACTAAACCATTCATTATTTTTAGGGAAAATTTCAAAAAAAGTAACTGACTGAAATAAGTTACTGACTCACAGAATGGCAAACAGTACACACATGATGATCTTGTTCTGAACTGGTTACATTGGTAGAATTAATCACCACCTGCGGGTGAAGGTATTTTCTTCAAACTTCACAAATATCTTACTATAAATTGTATTTTGGGGTCATTATTGTAAGTCACTGACCAAGACCTGTAACTCTAGCTTATAACTTTTACTGAATTATCTATTCTTTGTAAATGCTAGTTAATATTGTTTTGTATCATTAAGTACTCTAAGCGTGGGACACTGGTAAATTGCCTGTACTTTCCTATAATTTCTTATGTATCTTCATTAATTCATTCAGATGTTTGATATTTTCTTATCACCCATATTGCCAGTGTTGCATAAAGCCTTCTGTATAAACAATGTCTGTCTAAATCAGTTTTTCTTGATGTCTTTTCTGAATTAGTATAAGATAAAGCTTTCTTTCATCTTGATAATATTATCATGAATTAATCAAAAGTTGAAGACATATGTGATTAAAAACTCTTCTATGATATAAATCAAGTTTCTTTGTACCGTGATATAAGAACAGTAGCTGTTTTATTAACGGCCTTTCTCTGCCCTTAGACAAAGAGATTACCTAATAAAACATTTGATTATTTTATTTTATTTGTAATTTTCATGTTTGTTTTTGGATATTTATTATGAACATTTTATTTTGATAGTCATTAATGAAACTTAGTGCTTAAAATTATTTATTGTCCAATTTGAAATGAATCATAATACATTTACTTTGGTAAATCAGCTTAATTTATTCAGTTTAGTAAATTGATTGTTTATAAAAATAATTTCAAACAGCGAATTTGTTAGAGTTCATTATTGCATTTACCAAATTAAATTGGTCAAATAGCTGTGCCGTTCTTGATCAATTTAATTTCGTAAATATTTACTAATAAACTCTAACCTATACATAATTGTTTTCTTTCTAGGCTAACGATAATTTCTAACAAAACATTTAATGGGTTTCTTTGTATATAAGAAATCGTAATTGAATATGTAAGTCATTTTTAACCTGTACTTATAATTTTGATTTTAAAAGTAAACATATTACAGTTACAATATTTTTGTCCGTCCATTCAGCTTTCTGTTCTGACATGTCTAGTAATTTTATTTCAACATAATTGAAATTACAAGGGGAGGACCTTAGAGTCTAAAATAGAAAAAAAATAGAATCCCTAAAGAAAGCCCATCATGACAAAATTGAAAGAGTTGCAGACTGGGTTTGACTGAGCCTGTTCATGAACGGTAGTGGTGATTGCAAGCTACAGTCCATCATATAGCCTCCAAGCACTGGCTTAGCAGAATTCAACATTTAACATGAACTGGTAAAATCATTGGCAGATTTCCTTGAGACATGAGATATTTGTGGATATGAAAAGTTTATAGTGTTCTCACTCTATATGATATTTTTACCAGTATTATGAGCCAGACCAGACTGTTGGATGTTCAGTTTTATTATTTGATAGCTCAAAAATGCACAGTTTGAATTCAAAGGAATCAGACAAGTCACTTACATTATAAATTAAAAGTTGAGTTGGGTAGTTTGATATTAAATATAAGGTGTCTTATCTCTCCATGTATACAAAAAAAGCAAAATTATTTTTTTAAAAATTCAAGTATTATTCCTTCATGATAACAAGACAAGATATTCTGTGTTTGTGAGAAAATGTTTTAAGTTGCCGCCTCTGGTTTCAATATTTACATAATTCAGGTGACATGAAGAACTTGTTAAGTGCATCATTATAGGTTTTTAACCCACACCAGCTGCGAATTCGGTCTTAAAAAAAGTTTTGAAAAAGTCTTAAGTTTCCTCCAAAGTTTCATATCGTAAAGGATCATTTCTCAAATTAGGGACAGATTGTTTACAGTACAGAAAGTCCATTGTTGGTGAATTGAATGAATGCATAGAAATAATTAAAAAATTTACGATTTAAAATATGATAACAAACTGACAAATTGAGGCTACAGTAGGAGCTTAAATAATTGCATGTCATCCAGTAACAGAAACAAAAAATTTGCAGACACACTTTAGTTGCGTTTTAAGTCATACCAACACACAGTGAGTGTAAAGGGCATTCTCCAGCTAAAACGACTGGTGAAGGAGAACCTTAGATATTCCACTACCCCATGCATTATTTCAGGCACCAACAAGTACAAGAGCAAAACTTTCTACATTGTGTACCTTTTTAGACAAAAGATACAATAATTTGGTGCTATATACTAAGTTGTTGCTTTTCTTGTTGTTGTCCAAGTTGTAAAAGACATTATTGCTGAAAATCTTGCTTACAGTGATACTTTAAGACATTTGAGATTAAAATGTCATTACAGGTGCATAATAAGTTATCAAAAATATGAATATATAAGTAATTAATGATAAATAAAAAATTTCCATCAAAAAATTCGATAATTTTGATGGGAAATGTTTCAGTTCCGCCCCTTTTGAAGGTCTCTGCAGTTTTCAAGAAGAAGACGTAAGTTGTAAATATTATATTTCTTTTGTGAAGTTGAAGGTTTGTTTGTTAGGTAGGACCTTACACGGAGACATACGTCTAGGCCATGCTGAGCTTTCCAGTTTTCACATTATAATAATATGAAAAGAAAAAAAAGTGGCTGGGATTAAAGGCAAACCTGCACTTTCTAATCAATGACAAATAATGGTCTGTTATGAATGTATAAATTCACACATTGTTCAGCAGAAAGTAGGCCATTGGGACAAATCGTAATTTTAACCTGCAGTGATTTGACAGGCAAGATAAAATTTTGTGCAAACTGCTGTAAATTTTGTAGTGCACCTGGTATAGATTGTACTTTGATACACAAATCTGTCAAAAACCAATGGTTTTATTCTATTCTATGTGTTTTTGTCAACTTTTGTGAAATTGTAATGTAGCGTTGCACTAACATTTGAAGGACAGCCGGGTATGGTTGCAATAATCTAATATGCCAGGGACGGTTTCGGCTAGTGTATATTGTTCCGTGATAATTATAGGCTATTTGTTGCTACGTTAAGTCGCCTGTTGTCACTTAACATGCTTATCCGGTCTGAATCGAGACCTTTGAAAGTGAAAACTTGGCCTTTAACTTCATAATTGCCTGTAATAGCTGAGGGATAATTATACAGTGATTATTTGAATGCATCAGTTATTTCAGTAGTTTTAAAAGGTTTCCTTTATAATTGAAGATTTTAATCTTATTTTAATTGTATATTTTCGGGGATTATTAATATTTTTTTATTTTATTTTTTTTGAAAGGAGTTGAATACCATTTGATGTATTTCAATTATTGTTACATTTTCATGGGTTTATTATTATTTAATGCACCAAATCTTTAACTAATATCATTATGATAGTTTCAAAAAGATTATTTACTAAAATCAATAATCTATGAAAAAAATCCAAGAAAAATACAAAATACTAAAAATTAGAAAAAAAATGGAAAATTACTTTAATCCAAATAGAATCTAATACAGACTTATTAAAAAAAAATCTTTTTGTCCCCATATTTAAAGTCTATATTATTTTTACCTTATCAGGATAAATTTTCATATCGCACCTAAACATGTACCAGTTATCTGCAGTTCATTGAGTAAAGATGCCACCTACAGGCACTAGTATTATACATATCAGTTATGATGTCAGTATAAAATAACATCATTCAATAATGTCCTCAATAAGGTTAACAAGTAATAAAATGTCTTTTAGTTCTTTGTACATATCTGAATCAGTCCCCATTACTCCTACACTAATAGTATTAAATAATAATCTTTATCTCCACTCTCCGTACTTTATATTATTATTCATCATCAATGTTTACCATAAGTATACTGTCGAGGATTGGTTTAACATACTTTATAATACTAGTGAGAATTATACCACTGTTAGGCGATGTAGTTTATCAGTTAAATTTCGATCTGTTCAAGTTGGTTATAATAAAGTCACACAGTTTCGCTGGGATTTAAAAAATTTTCCCTGGAACCATTTAAGTACAAATTTAAATATTAATTACAGCGTTTTGTTAATCGGCACCTGTTTATCACTTGAAAATCAGCAGATTGCCTGGCAAGCTACCGCGATTGCTGATTGGTAATAGATTTCTTTAAATGTTTATGAATGATCGGTCATATTGTTCTATTGTTTGACATGACTCGCTTGTATATAATTATCTACCTTCTATAATCACGATAGAGTATTGAGTTTACATTTTTCACCAATAGAATATATTTGGGTGTACTCGACATTTCCATTTGTCTGTTAATCGCAGGTGTATTTACAGACTGGATTTAATTCTTGTTTGGGGAAGTCGGAAAAAATACGACAGATTTAATAATTACAGAAAATGAAGACAAGTTTATGAGACAGGTGTATTGACATAAAAAAAGTTTGACAAATGATTATTTTAATACCAACAAATTTTGTTTGATAAAGAGATAAGTGCATTTAAAAAGACGTAAAGATTTTAAGATAGTTGGATATAATATTATCTTTCGCTATAAACACACAAAAAAAGTAAGTGACATAAATCGAGGTTAAGGCAGCGAAGTGATTGAAGAATTTCAAAGCTACAAGATATATTGAATAAACACCAAGTCTTGTTGAATTTACTGACAGTTTATGGATGTGTGTAAACCAAGGCTGTTGTTGATTTTTATGTGTCAAAGGAAAAAAAGGGATATTTTTAGTGTGAACTAAAACAATTGACAAAGACTGTTGATAGATTGAAATGACTTTGAGTAAACTGATGAAGGATTATCTGAAATACTCTCATATAAAGTAAGAAAATTGAGATAACGGGTATGGCAAAAATGAGGAGTGTACAGGTGGATATAATAAGGAAGTGGTGAGTTTACATTGATTAAATGTTTGTTTATTTTCTTTTTTTGTAATTCTTTAGGTTTTAATATGGGTGTTTTTCATACAAGCAAAAGGATATTATTTATTTTAAAAGATTAATGCGGTTTTTATACTTTTTAAGGATAGTAAAGTGGGATTTTTATTTTCAAATTTTTTATTCTTTTATCTAAGGTAGACTCTATGTAGGAAAATTTATTAAAATTTAAATCAATATTTTAATATTATTTTACATAAAATATTTTTTTCATTTTTTTTTAATCAATATGTACAACCACCTGTTGTTTTAGCTGTATTTGTTATTCAATGTGTTAACAAAATCATTAGACCAGGTTAAACATTAATGAATAGAGTAATATATACTAGATAGATCATGTATTTGTATGATTAATATAATCAACCGCAACTTTTCTTCTCCAAGGTGGTCCTTAATTTGCTTAGCACCAGAGTTGCTTCCTTGTAGAAACCTATGTCTTCAATACTGAACCATACATAATGCATTAGAATTAGGTTGGTATGCAGACACCTGCCCCCTATTATGGGTTTATGGTGGTAATATTGGGAAATATTTACCGCTAATGTTGTTAATAATGATTATTGCCGACCTAATCATTACCAGCGGGAATGTGGCTAGTCTCCGAGGTGAAACTTGTAATCAAATTGTAGCCCAATCTCTGGAGAAAACCTAATTTTGTAATGTTTCTCCCTCTAGTATAGTGTCAGAAATCAGTTTTTAGCTGAATTCCTACACTAGAATCATAGGTTTGATTGCTTCCACACATAAAATTTGTTCCATCTTAATGTAACCATTATTTTCAGGGATTTTACTGCAGCCATTAACTGTCTAACATATTGTTTCTACTGTAAATGTCTCTTTCTGATTGTTGTGCTCTCTTAAAAAAAAAGAAGGCAGAGCTTTTGATGCTTGAACAATGTGGTAATGATAATGATTACTGACTAAAAAAAATTGACTTCTAAAAAAACTCTTAATTGTGTACTATGAGAAAATAAAAATCCATTACTAGCATGCAAACTGTAATGAAAGTTTATGCTTGTTGATGTTTTGAACAGATTCTGTTATACTTTTAATGCTAGATAATTATTTGAATGTTATATTTCTGAAATACTGATACAAATACAAACAATAAGATGACTTCACAATCAGATTATATTTGTTGCTCCATGATCAACATCACTTGACCCTTTAAATGCTTGAGGCATGGAAAACTTTCCTTGTGCAACCTTGGAGTAAAGGGCCAAGCCAGCCTGCACACCCATGCTATCTTGTAGACTGCTCAGTTTTGGTATTTAGAAATTGAAACTCTGTTAATTAACTCACAATGCTCAGTTTCAAATTCAAATTAAAAGTTGAAATTATGTCACACAAGGAACTTTAATATGTATTGTTTATTGACAGTTCTACTTCATTTGTATTGTTTACTACAATATTATAAAGGGGTTCTCGAAACTGCATGGATTAACTTCCTTTTGTTTTAAAGGGTTTTTAGTGCTATTATAACTGTGACAAAGAAACACCCACTGTAACAGTATAATGCCTGACCGTGGTTCTCATGTACTGTCTAACCTGACTATGTTGTTCGCAGCTTGATTTTAGTATTTTGACATTTCAATCATTTAACTAATTGACAGTTCCAAAGTTCAAGTACATGTAGACATGATGTACTATGTATACATAAAATTAATATTTAGGTATAAAGCTTAACTGGATCTACAAATATGTGCATCAGTTATATAAGTAAATACTAGTATGTCTAGTTAGGTCATATAATTATCACCATATGGTCAAAGCTTTGTGGTTAAACAACTTAACTGATGACAAAATAGTTGTGCTAAATTATTAACAACAAAAGCTTATTTATTCAGTACTTGGATGTACTCTAAAAGAGGTCAGATGTCTACATTTAGTGAAACAAATTGGTTTGGTTACAGATTATACTGGTTATAGATTAGTAAAATAAACACAAACATTCACTTAGCATACCTTATTGTCGTGGGTACTAGTCGAGGGTAACTGTCCTAGTCAGGAAGTATTCCGCAATGGTTTTCCGGCACCATTCATCTGTTTACCTGACTTTTATCTCGGCACTTGCACTCTCAGTTTGCCATTTTAACCAAATATTTGTACACTCGGTGTATTCTAAATTTGTCATTTTGATTTATATATTTACCTTGTTTTGTTCGTTAAAATTATAAAATTAGAATGTCAGTTGATCATGAAGGCATAGGTATTTTCTCTTGTTGCATTCTTTTCACTTTTGCTGTATTTTTCATAATATACAGTAAAGATAAGATGGTTTTGATCAGCATCTGGATCTTCAAGCCTGATATTGATGACAATGCTAGAATGATGTACTGCATGCAGCAATAACGGCTCTCTTATTCCACAACTACGTTGTATGGCCGGCCTGCATTGTTCAGCCTATATTGTTGACTTTTAATCTGAAAGCTTACTTCGAATGGGTCCAAATTCAAGGTCAAATAAATTTATTACTTAAAATTAGACTTTGAGCTTGGACCTCCAACCTTATTGCTGATTTCATGTCTGTGTGCAAATGCCTGCTGGCAGCAAGCAACTGATTCTATGCACGGGACCAGAGCAAATAAAGATCAGCTGGCATGGATTCTGTGCTGTCTGATCATGGTTCTGTGCCTTCTGATCATGGTCTGCACTGTTCACTATTCAGTCCGTACTTATTTTCCCCTTAAATGAGAAATGGTTGTGTCGAGATTGTAAGATGGGCAAGTTCATTTAAGATATTTAGCTTGGTAAGAGTTAATAACAGAGCTTCCTGATAAACAGATTCCCCATGATTTTGTAATGAAGACATGATCAGATTGTATGTTAGATTCAATAAACAAAAGGTAGAACCATGTTGCATAGTTTCCTACCTGTATATTTACTTAGATAATAATAGACTATGTAATTGAACTTGCTATTTATGTAATTAAAGTTTACCGCAGGTGTCCGCTGTGAAACAGTGCAGGAGTCATTTTGATACCGATATAGCCACAGATATAGCCCTTGATAAGTTTTTGGTTCCTGTCACAGTTTAAAAAAACATACCTATGTTGCATGGTTTTAATTACATGTAATTTTGATGTAATCTGTACATGCTGATTGCGATCTTTCAGCTTGAGTGGCATGTCAAAAAAAGATAGATGTCTTAATTAAATAGTTATATAATGCAGAAAATTTTATGTCCTGCATATAATATACCCGTAAAATTTGGTCTTTTCATGCAAATTACTGTAATTTGCAATGAATTGTATACAGATCTGATATCATAGGTGGCAAAAAGAACAGATGAAGTTGATTGAATCCAATTAAGGGTATTTAAATCTTTCTGACTTTTTAAATTGTTCTTGATGTGCATGTGTAAATTTTGTCTGACAGTTAAAAACGGGTCATATAGAAATTTGAATTTCTAGTTTTCTTTTCACAATTTATAAGAAGAATAATTGCCTTGATTACTTGATGACTGCGTTTTTTATTCAGTGAACACATTCATGTCATTTTCTCGCTTTTCATTTGGTGTTTTGATTAGATTGTTGTATAGAACGTCATGCTGATGTTCTTATGTCAGTTATCGGCATTCTTCCCCTATTGATATTCCAGGATTGACAATTGTTGATTAGTGCCTGTACAAGACCAGATTACACCACTGATTGTTATTGATGATTTTTTCAGAAAAGTATTACCATTTACTTACATTACGGGTCACGATACCTAGCGATCATGCCCGTTGTATTGAAACGGTTTCATTAACTTACTGCTATCGGAAGGTTTACCAATATTGACTGGACATTTAATGCTTATATCTCATTAGCAAGTCGGCTTGTGTAAATCCATTACCATCATTGTTCTTATTTACCATATTTTTAGGATCATTTGAACTGTTCTTAAGCAGACGTAATAACTAACCATTATTGTATGAATAATTTCAAGCCAGTCACTCTCTCTATGTCCTAAATTACCAAGGCACGGAAATAAAATAAGAAAAAAAGAAAAGATTTTGGCAAGTAGAATACAGTCATGTGCCTTTTGTTGCGTTTTAAGATGTAAAAGATTGTGTAGAAAAATTTAGCAATGCACTGCAATGAAAAATCTTTGATTTTTTTTTTTTGTAAAGATTTAGGAAGAATGAAATTGTTAAAGAAAAGATGGTCCAGTGAGATAGGGACACCTTGACAATTTTGACTGTCATTTTTTAACACAGACACGCATGTATACTTTAAGATAGGATATGATTCAACTGCAATATAAATAGTGGCCAGTAACTTTGGACATGAAAAATGTTGAAGACTGTTATTGTTATATTATAGTTTACCATTTCTTGAGTATAAAAATAGACAAAATTGAAGAAAAAAATTAGAACACTGTATTATATATTGCTGCCATTGTCTGTAATGAAAAGAGTAATGGCCCCTTGTTTCTTGTTGTTGTTTTATATTTTCTTTTCTATTAAGTTTCTGGATTCTACTTATCTTTAACTTAAGGTCACAGTATTATGTAATTAATAAAGCTACAAAGAAACTTAAGACTGCTATAAAAAAAGGAAATAATCCTTTTTATAAAGAGATTGTTTGAGTTTTACGTTTGAAGTCAAGTTTGGAATAAAGATTTATTCAACACTTATCCTGGCTCAAATTAATAAAGCCCATTATCACAAAGGTTGTTGGCTGTGCCAAAAAAAGTAAGGTCAACTTATCTGAAATTATCTTTTTCATTGAAAGACATGATTAACATACACTTGTCCAAAGTTCACTGACTTTTCCTTTTATTAACACACTGTCAGAGTGTATATTTTTTCTTTCTTATTTTCCAAAGGTTAATTTCTTATTGTGTCAATATACAACTTCTTTTTTACTTGGAATAATGTTATGCACTGATTTTGTAGTTCTACTGAAGGTTGATTGAATCTCAACACAATGTTCCGTTTTATATTTTAATGTTTCTTTCTTAGTGGA